GAATCGCTTTGTGTACTTCAACGAAGATTAGACCTCAGACCCCTTCCCCAGTTGACTGTTCACCATCTTTTGTGTTTCATGTCATAGTTTATTGCTTATTTTTTGGTCGATTATTTTGCATATGTTTTCATTTCAGGCGTGTTTGGGAGAAGCTGTTACTCTTTCTGAAGTGAAGAAAGTTATCACAGAGTGGACTGATGCTTACGAAGGTAAATATGGAGAGTTTTCACTCACGTGACCACTGGCTATGCAAATGTATTGGAACAAAAAAAGGCTGTTGTACATTTTACAGTAATACCATGCGAACCTCACACAGCCCATAAAGTACAAGGAAAGCCATATTTTTGCAATATTTGTTTCTGTGCTAACGACATTGTGTATTCTAGGTTTGAAGCTTTTAGAACTTTTCTGTTCGTTTTTATGAGCGTCTTGAAAGTTTTCGTGTGCTACGAAGTGTGGGTTGATGTACCAGTCGCCGGTTTTTTCCCTTCGGAGGATTCCTGCAAGAACGTTTTGGGACACCAACATGGCCGGCGTGATATGTACTGCGGCACTTTTTATGAGTTTGCCGCAACAAGTAGCTGAACTTGACAAAAATGTTAATTTCCCGTAGTATAATTTGAGCGCTATAGCCCGAGCGGTTTCATATTTCACAGTCAACGTTTGGCTGATAAAAGGAACATTTTTGTTGCAGTTCCATTGGAAGAAGATGTTGAAGTCTTCCGTGACTACTTGTTACAGCTTATTGGAACACAGAACCTGGAGCAGCTATGGAGGGTCATGAAGTTTCTCGATAGGTATTATCACCGTTTATTTCACTCATTGTCTTGTTTTTGAGATGTCGAGTGCGCTCCATACCATCACGGGATAGTGAGATGGCCCTATCATCGAAGGGTGCTCTTTGTAGAGGAATGATATGAGTTTTTCAATCTCTCGTGTGAACAAAAATGAAGTTTGTCCCTGCTGCAGCATTTTTTGCATGAAATTTAATGTTAGGCGTGAATTTTGCTTCAGTGAACAAGACATATACAGACATAGCATCCCAGTTCCTCTGTTAACAGTGCCGTGCGAGCAGCATCCGGGAAACTGACTTACTCCGTGCCTCAATTTGTGACGTCATGAATTGCGGAATTTAAGAGGCGGGAAGGAAAGGCCTGGCTACTAGGCAGCTTTTTGTTTCCTGTTAGGTTGTGCACTTTCATCAACGACTTGTGTTTATTCTTTTTGTAGGAGAATTGAAGGGCGTGAAGATTGGAAGAGTGTCTGTTGTGCAGTTTTAGAGCAAGTTCAACAAGAAATTAACCAGAAATATCACAGCAAACTGTCTGTTAAGTCGCTGAAATTCTCCGACATATAAACTCCCCTCTATTGACTGTCACTGTAAATTTTTATAATACTAATTAAAACTTCTTCAAATGAAAATTTTCCAACTTTTCACTCGGACAAATAAGATTCCACTTTTGTGGAAATTTTTGTTTAGTTACTTTTTAGGCCTAGCAAATGCGTTAACTTTGAAATTGATAATCAATTACCCGCCGACACAGCCTAACGCCTTCAGGTTCCAAAATGGGGAAAAGTGTAGCCTGCAGAACAGGCGGATTAGCGGGCTCTGACGCGATACACGAGCGGGCGCGCGAAGCGCGAGGCGAGGATTTTTCTCGCCTCGCGCTTCGCGTGCCCGCTCGTGTATCGCGTTAGAGCCCGCTAATCCGCCTGTTCTGCAGGCTAG